AAGAGTTAGTCTTAAGGGCAAAAAAAGACCATAAGGCTCTTACATTCTGGTTTGCACTGAAGAAGGATGTCTGCAATTCTTCCAAGGTTGACTACATCATAGTGGAATACTTAAGACCCTTTCACAATTCTATAAGGAGATTAGTGTTGAGTTTCCTGTAGATCGAAATCCATGGAGACAATAATTATATATATATGTATAAATATATATTAAGGACTCAAACAACGACCAAACACATGCACGAAAATAAAACAAAAAAACTTTATTTTACCAGTACGATAACCATGATTCCTACTACTCGAGTTTACACGATATACGATTCTTACCACTCGAGTTTACACTAGATACATATTGTCAACTTAAAACTAATAGTTATATACAAAACCTGGATGAAAATTACATTACAAAATGTAAGTCCCTCGTTATTTCTAAATTTCCTTAAGATGGAAATGGATTGGACTCTTGAACTGGAAATGGTCTTCCTTGCTCACTCCTATTCTCCCGGCCTGGCCTCGAACCATCGTATTATCCTTGATGGATCCAAAAACCATAATCCCCTCAATCATGAGAATTCACTAATTTATATTTCTCGCTCTCTGGAAGTCCGCTTTACTCATGTGTCCCACCTTTGACCATTCAGAAGGCTTTTCCCATGATACCTAAGAGGTGACATCGTACAAATTAAGAAAACCTGATACATACAAAAAGGAACCCGAGACAAAAAAAAATATAATAATAATACATAGTCGCGTAGTGCAACATTAGTAAAACTACTGGCTGAAAAATTCTATACAAGAGAAATCCTATCATTTACAAGATCTTGCATAACAGACCATCTTTAAATAAGATACAAAAATCATGACATGGCCATTGTAGCACTAATTCATGTGTAATTACCTTACAATACAGTATCAGACTATAGACAAAATAATTTGAAAACTTTATTTTAATTTCGTATGTTACATAGGTTATGAAGCTACACTATCTGGTGAACATTGAATCAATACACATGTACACCTGGCCCAAGTTTGAACCCAAAAGTGATGTTTTGAGGTGAATCCAAAAGTGAACCCAAAAGTCAGTGTCAGATTGTCAGGTCCTTTAAGTTCAGAGTTCCTCCTGGTGGCGACTTTTAGATTTATGATCAAAGCTGTTGCCACAGCCATATTCAATGTTATACTGTAAACCAAAACAGTATGTAAACTAATCCTTAGACTCTCCTAATCCTATGAACATTCCAGGGGTATATACTGTTCCTGTTAAGATGATAGGTTTGCTCTTTTCTTACTGTAAGTTGGAGCCATCTTAAAATCTCTAGATACATGATTGAAAGAGCATAAAGATGACATTCAGAAGTCACAGCCATGGCAGTTTATGCTTTTTCAGATTCTGTAAGTGTACACTATAAACAAGCTAAAATTATTAAGAGGATCAGAAAAAGGCATCACATTCAACATTTGGAAGCTCTACATATTTACAAATCAATGTGACAGGAATGTTCTATCAATTACAAATAGTTTTACCACCTGCCCGGTTTTCATCCGGACAGTCCGGGAGTTGACTCACTGTCTGGGTGAACTATTAATTTTGTCCGGGAATTTTGTATAAATTGTGAAATTACGACAAAACGAAGTTATTGCAAATATTTTTACAAATTTACACTATTTTAACAGCAAAAGAACTCACACTCACTGAAACTCATCTGCAATTCTTCCATGTTAGTCTGTTTATGCCGATGTGTGGCGCGCAACCTGTTGACTTTTTTTTTCTTTTGCATGTATGATCGTACACATCTCCATCTCCAATATCCAATAGAGCTACATCATCTGTACCTGTTATTTCTTAATTTAGGGTTACTTATGTTACTCCTACACAAGTCCCTAGTCCCTAACTGTAACTGATTTAAAACCAGCATGCATGTTATTCTTTGCATTGTAAAATGACATTGCGCATATGTCAGGAACTTCTGTTCGAACAAACCTGACCTGCTGTCTGGGTCAGCGATTTTGAAAAGGTGGCACACTCATTACAAAGATCTTGTAATTGATAGAACTTCTTGGAAAGCTTGCTATGAATTGGACACTATGTAACCCGGACAACATATTTCTATGACTTCAGGATACCAACCTGTTCTTTTCTTAGATATTTTTGTTATATTCATTCATTATTTTTTGCCCTTGAAGCTGACTCTTTTATTTATATATATTTCCTATTTATTTTATGTATTTTTATCGTATATCTATTTTTCTGTATTTATTTACAGTATGTTGTATTTTTATCATGTACTTTCATATTGTATTTTTATTCTTTATTTTATTTTTTAAATTGTCTGGCATTCTATGTTTTAAAACATTTCTGTTATTCTAATTAAATGTTTGATTTTATGCTGTATTTAATTTTCATATCTTACCTGAAGATGGTCATTGAAAACAACTGAAAATGTTAGTAGTTAAAAGTTTTTGCTAGATGTAAAGGTTGTTTAGTGAGTCTGAAGTTTAAAGAGAATTATAAGTTTAAAAAATTAAACATTACTCTATCTCAGGGATTTCAAACTTAAAAACAGCAAAAGGCCAGTGAAATAGATGTTTATCAGACATGGCCATATTCAATATTATTCTGTAAACCAAAACAGTATGTAAACTAAAAAAAAAAGTTCTAACAAAGGCCTTTTATTGCCAGGCCTTTACAACTTACATAAACAGTTAGAAGTTTGAATTTTTTCTGTTTTAATCCTCTCAAGATGTTAGAAACATTAATTTTTAGAAAAGAAATCAAGGCAGTGGGCCTGATTTGAAGCCTTAACAGGCATATCAGGCATGTCGACTGCCAGTTTTTGACCTCTGCTCTATCTGAAACTTAACATTCAGACTATGAAATGCCTGCATCACTATTAACTCTTTCTTTATCATCATTCAATTACAGTTTTGCGTCTTTGCATCTCTCTCTTATTGAAGCATAAAAATATTAAATTATTTTTATGAACCAATTTAATATTTTTTGCCTTAATGCTGCAAATGCAAAATCAATATTTTAATAATTTTTGGATAATTCAAGTTAATGTAATTTTGAGTAATAAAGTTGAATGTAATTTTGTTACACATACTTTTAAAATAGTTACAGTTTTCTAATTTATAGATTAAACATTGCTTAAATATTTCAAATCTTACTTTGAAGATGTTAGGGTTACTTTATATTGTATAATAATCGGATATATCGGAATATCTTGATTATGGGTGTATAAGAAAATAAAAACAAATGAGGACTGTACAATGGCACTTGGAATGAAATTTGCTTTTAATAACATTTCGTGATCAATTCCATTATTGGTCTGACTTACAAAAGTAGGTAGATATTATGAATACAAAGGAAAAACTTATTTCTAAATTCTAAACTGAAATGACTTAATTCTATATACAATCATTACATGGTGGTACACACGTGTTGCTACTATCCTCCTTTGTTCTTAGTCCGATCTCCTTGTGAGTCTCTGCTCGCTCGCTCGCTTGTCCGTCCGTCTAGCACCAATCAAACACGAAAAGAGAGAGAGAGTCCCTCCACACACGAGACAGTCTCTTTTTATACCCTTCTACACATGACCTTTGTTCTCCACCAATCAGTCCGCACCCTATTGCGCAGCAATAGGAGTGACCCGACATAGTCCTCCGCGTACCATTACACAAAGAAAACAAAACATAGTTCTTGACATGTGGAGATTCATTTACACAAATTATAACAATATGGAAGAGTACATAAATAAAACCAAAGTAGCGTAGCACTACAATATGAATTTAATTTAAAACTGTACAAAATTTAAAAAAATGATTAATATATCAATTATACTTTCTCCTTTAATAGTTTTATTGAATTAGAAAGAAGGAAGGATAATTGTGATGGACTCACATTTGAGAGAGTCCTTCCTCAATTAAGAAAGTTGAATCTTTTAGACTGAAACTGATTCAGAATCTGAAAGATGTGATTGATGATACAGCAAAGCTTCTTATTAGGAAGAATTGCAGTGTTAACATCAGAAAATAGACAAAATGCCAAATAATTCATAAATATGTATACAGGTATCCCTCATATAACACAGTAGTTACATTCTGAGAAAGTGCCATGTTATGCAAATCTGTACTAAATGAAACAAATAACTAATGCAAAACATATGGTTGCATTCCAGAAGTTAGAAAAAGTATACTATTGTTTCCGTCACTAAGAAAAATATATTTATTAAAGCAATCGATAATTTATTTCCAATCAATAATTAATTAATGATCACAATTAAAAGTACTGTATTACGTGTTAATATTTATTTTAGTTAAATGAGAGCATTTTCTGTTTACAAAATATCGTCGTCATCTCAGCTTTTTTGTTGATCTTGATCGGAAGTATTAGCAACATTTCCATATTTTTTATTTTTATCATAAAAATTCTTATGGATGATGAAATAAATATATGTTAAATATAAATATATAAATATAAAATTAATTTTCTTTTCTAAAAATTAATGTTTCTAACATCTTGAGGGGATTAAAATAGAAAAAATGCAAAAATAAAAAAAATATTGAATAACAAAGTTTATACTTAGAAATTGAAATTTTGTAGGAGGATTTCCAAAACAGTGTTAGTGAAACCAGAAGTTGTGTTGTACTGGGATATCTCCAATTTTCAGTGTTAGAGGGAAACCATGATGTAGAAGTACTGTGTTGTATGAGGGATACCTATATTATAATCTGTTTTAAGATATAAGTTTAAAAATTTTAAAGTACAGAATTAAAGTTCAAATGTAAAAAAAGTTTGGAGAAATTAATAATATGAAAGTAGAAAAGCAGCATATATAATAGGGTTGAATTTTGATATTAATATTAAAGAAATACTGGTAAAGGGTTAAATTTTGCATCATGTTTAGTGAATGATGGGCAGTTATGCATCTTTTTGATTACTACTATAAATGTAATGCACTTTACAAATTGAATTATATTCATAGTATAATTTCTTTACAGATTCGTTATGCTAGTCCAGAAAGGTTATTTGAACGTCTGACAGATTTACGTTTCCTAAGCATAGATTTTCTGAATACTTTTTTATTAACATATCGTGTTTTCACTGATGGTGTTACTGTGCTAGAAGCACTTAAAAAAGTTCATTATAATCCAGAATCACAGTTAAATGCAATTGGTCCTGGACTTCAAGATTCAACAGGGTAAGTTTTAATTAATCATTTTAATTTTATATAAATTAGCAAAATGCTAATTCAAACAATTTTTTAAGATTTGAACACCAAATCTTTTTAGATCATTGGATGCTATACCGGGAGACGGGCAGACAGAGTTAGGACTTGTAGTAGCTGATTATGATTATTCTCGACGAATCAGTACTGGAAGCATGATGTCTGATATTAGTGAAGCTCCAAGAGATTCCATTGATGCAAGCTCAGGGTATTTTCAGCAATCACAGGTGATAAGGAATCAGCAGCATTGGAGACTTAGTCATCGAAAATGTTAGTGTTTTTATATTTGATAAAATATTTTTTGAAAATCTAATTTCTATGTAAATTTAAAATATAAGATTAAAGTAATACTATAATAAGTTACTGTAATTATTGATTCTTTTGAAAATTAGTTGAAGAAGAACAGCAGCAGCAACTAAGGGAATCAGCTCTGAGAAGGACCCGAGAGAGTATTCCTGCTTCTCCTAGTCCAGAACCAATTTGTGTGCCAGTACCACCACCACCAACTCCTGAACCTGGTGGTGTTTCTGATGAAACTATTTCAGGTCAATCAATAGATAAAATGTCTCAAGACTCAGGTGCAGAACCAAGTAAATTAGTACCGCCATCTCAATCTACAGATACTTTAGCAGAGGCTAGTAATCCTAGTACACCCACAAATCTTAGTGCTACTGCAAGTACTGTAACTTTGGTGGGAAGTGTTGGAAGTAGTGATTCACCAAAAGCTAGTCCTAGTCGGTAAATATTGATTTCTTTTTTAATTTTTTTTCTTGTTTTAATCCAATTTATAAGAGAAAATAGCTGTTTTAAATTGGATGTTTTAATATTGTACATAAAAACATAAGAAATGCATCAAATAATATTTAAAAACTGAAGTTTTTAAATTAAAATTTGTTTTTACATTATATTTTAATATCAGTTTTTTTTATATTAGTAATTAATTATATAAAATTTTTATTTATGTGAATATTATTTTGCATTTATTGAATATAAAAGCGAATTGTTTTCATACTGTGTAAAAAGAAATGTAGGTGTAAATGACTTAATTATCTGCTTTTTATAGAATTAACTCAGTTTTAAACAAATTTTATTTAAAAATGTATTAATTTATGTTATTTTTTTCTATAGCTATATTATCTATAAAATCTATATTAGATACTCTGTATTTTCGTCTTTGTTTTACATTAACAGGAACATATCCATATTCTAAAATTTCTTTCTTAAAATTAATATCAATATATTAATATTATGCCTCAAAATATATTAATTTTAGAAGGAAAACTACAAACTTTGAATTTACAAATACAATTGGGACTGGATGGTTTATAGTTTATAAATTTTTATTCCTAAATCATCATGTTGAACATTTATGCACAAATCATTAGCAAAAGTATGTAACAAAAATATTTTAAAAATGCTTAAAGAATTTAAAAATATGATTAATTAAATTTGAATTCAATGATTTGATTAAAAGCTTAATGATATTTAATATACCACTTCTTCCAGTAATCCTAATCTTTGTTTCCACATCACCAAGAACCAGAAACATATGTCAGAAATGGAATTATCAAAAAAAATCTATTTCTGTTCTTATTGTGTTTCTGCTCTACTAGAGATTAACCATAGAATCTCTCAAAAACTTTTCAATGCCAATAACATAAATAGTATCAAGCAAAAAATGAATGATGATACTTTGATAATGTTGTTGGCAATTAAAAAAACTACATTGTCAAAGTATCCTTCTCCAATTGGTATTGTATAAAAATGGAATGTACTGTACAATGCAAAAGAAAAGTAGAAACATTTTTTAACTCTTTTCTGTTTGGAATCTGTTCAGCTTGAAATTTTTAGTAGGAGGTGACATCATGTTTTTTTTTTTCCTGGTATTGTGGAAACTAAGCTTTATTTATTTGCATAATTGATCTTTTATGACTCCTGGTTCTCTTAAAAGTAATAGGAAATGATAGTCCCTCTCTCTCTCTTTCAAATCTTAAATTTTGGTTTATTTAATTTTTCTATACTACCCTAAATTTTTACAAAATCAAAACTAGGAGTAAGAAAACAAGGATGATAGCTTACTATTAATAGAAATGATAATAACAGTATGACATTTACAATTTAATTGTTAGTCTTTCTTAATGTATGACTTATTGTAAAAGCTTTTACAGTGGGTGATAGGTTAATGAACGTAATGCATTCCAAGACTTTGTTCGTTAACCAATTATCGATTTACCATAGGTTTTTATGGGAATTTGATTAATTTGTTCTGGAGACTCCAAAAAATAAAAATATATTCTTTTTTACTACGTTTATTAATATGTAATAGTAAAAATACATATATATGAGTCTTGCTTTTTTTTTAGTCATGTTTTTTTTCTGTTTGTGGGGGTTAAAGAATCTGTCCAATGTTGATTGCTTTTCTCTTTCAGGATTTTTCAGAAGTAATTAATAGTATTGTAATTGTAGAGATCCCCAACTCCATTAACCTGATTCTGGTTTGGATGATACTTGGATGATCATTGTTCTGACATCCTCCTACTACTTCAAAAAATCTTTAGTAGCAGATGTCGACATTGGTTTTCTTTTGTCTTCCTCTTTTTCAAAAGAAAACACATCTTGCTGAGTTTCTTGGTATTCTTCATTTGAGAGTTCTTGGAGTTCTTCTGTCATCAAATCAGTTTCAGGTTCCATTACGAGCTCTAAAATGCTCTTTATTTCTCAGATGTGATTTTCATTACTCCATTAGCAGCTTGAGACTTCTTGATATATCTTTCATAGCTAAGTTTGTGCCTACTGTAGACATACTGCCTAGCAACATCAGACATCTTGTGCCCACTTTCTACCTTGGCTATTATCTCTTACTTGGTTTCTATGGTGAGTACAGTTCTCGACACTCCTCTTTTTAGGCTCCATATTATCAGTTTCTTTTTTAAATAAAAAGTTCAGAAAAGCACTTACAAAAATTCAGAGAACAGAAATCAACTAGCCCACAAAAA